AACATGGAGGGCGCGGTGTCGGATCTGGTGGTGTGTAACCTGGCGTTTGCGGGGCGCCTCGAGGAGCTGCGGGCGCTGCTGCTCCGCGACAGGGCCCAGGCCACGCGGGCCGACCAGGTCAGCCGGCTGCGGCCTCGGGCGGCCTGGGGGCGGCTTCTGCTAGCCGCTCCCGCTAGCCGCATCCCCGTAGCCGCTCCCCGCCCTTGCCCCGCTCACTCGCAGGCCTCTCCTCTCGCAGGATCACCGCACCGCGCTGCACTGGGCCTGCTCGGCGGGACACACGGACGTCTCAGACCTCCTTCTCGGGCTCGGCGTGCCTGTGAACGATAAGGATGATGTGAGTGCCGCGGCCCTGCCCCGGCGCGGTTGAGGGAGCCGTGAGCCACTGCGGGGCGGTCCGGGTGTGCAGATGCTTCCGGGCCCGTTGCTGTCATGGTTTCATCCGCAGAGGGGCCCTGAGAGCGGCCGGGAGCAGCTCCCGGAGCCGCTTGCGGGGCTCCCTTCCTCCCTCTTCCCCCTCCTCCTGCCGGCTGCTGTGCCCAGCGCCGTATCTGTTACTTGGGCAAGTCCAGGCGTTGTGTGTGCGCTAGAAAGGCAGGGTGAAGGATTTCGTACTTCTTATGGAAATAGGCGTGAGGACGAGATTTGAGACCTGTTTATTGTCCTGGAACTTTAGGAGAGCTGTTCTTATGAAGGAAGTTGCAAAACTAGAGGTGTTTGGGTGGTTCTTGGGGTTTTCACATTACCTTTATCTCAGTGTGAGCTCTCAAATATGTTGTGCCGAATCTTGAGGCACCCTGAAGACTTCTCACATTGGGGAAGGCATTAATAAGGCAGATGCAGGTTCAGTGATTTCACAGTTGGAAAGGAGATAGCCTGCTCCTGTTCTAGAGGAAGTGTTGAAATATTTGCATCCATTACAAAGCATCTAAATGTCATCCATAAAGAAGGAAATGCCTCATGACTTTAGAAAGTAGGATATAGAAAAAAATACAGGAACTTTTAAACACCCTTTTCTACTACTACTGTTTGTTCTTAAAAAGGCACGAGTGTAAATTCTGCAGGGATAAAGTGCTCTGTAAAGATACCATGCATAACTGCATGGCAGAAGTGATTTCTCTCATTTAACTGGCAGCTTTTTGCAGGTACTCAATGCAGGCATGTAAGAAGACATGAGCCTTGCATCTAGCAAAAACCAATAATGTTTAGCTTTACACTGGTAAGAATATGTACAGTGTGAGTAGTTCAGGTTTTTCTGGGTTATTCATTATCATGTTTTTGTGTCTGAAACTCATGGTTTGAATAATGTGGATCTTCTTCTTGTCTCTGTAGGCTGGTTGGACTCCTTTGCACATAGCTGCTTCAGCAGGCCGTGATGAAATTGTGAAAGCCCTTATTGCTAAGGGTGCTCATGTAAATGCTGTCAATCAGAATGGCTGCACACCCCTGCATTATGCAGCCTCCAAAAATAAGCAGGAGGTACGTTTACCTAAGCTACTGGAGCTGGTGGTATTCTTGGAAGAAGGATTTAGGTGTATTAAGTCCACATCCTCCTCCCCCACTCCTTTCTCTTTCAACATACTCAGATTGCAATCATGCTTTTGGAGAATGGAGCAGATCCAGATGCAACAGATCATTTTGAATCCACCCCATTACACAGAGCAGCAGCCAAAGGAAACCTAAAAATGGTACAGATCCTTGTGCAGCACAATGCAACTGTGGATATACGGGACTCAGAAGGGAATACTCCTCTGTAAGTAATTTTTAATTTTTATTTTGCTTAATATAGCATAATCTCTGTGAAATGAAACTCCAGCACTTCAATGTATTTTTTTTTTTAATTTTTCGTTTCCTTAAAATACTCTCTAGTTTCACATCCCTGTGCAATTAAAAAGTATTTCAGAAAGTCATACTTAGTCATACTAGTGGTCTGGACATGCATATTGTAATTAATTTTGTGTTTCAAAATTTAAAAATGTGTTACAAAATACAAAATTTTAATTTGTGTTACTGCATCTACTTAAAGAGTGTAGAGCACTTCTTGTATTAATCTGGAATATGTTGGTTGCTGCTACAGGGTAGAAAGTGAGCTAATGACATCAGTCAAAGGAAACTGGTCTTGCAGGCTTGGTCTACTCTGCCATGCCAAGCAAGAACTCATTTCAGAAACTTTCCTTCACCTCTCATTAGAGATCAATTTGAGTCTGTAAGGGTCACAGCTACTTTGAAGTTGGTGTCAAAACCACAGTGGAATCCAGATTTTGCTGGGAATAAGATCAAGCAGTATGTTTTAGCTGTACATAAACTCCAGTATGATCCTAGAATGCACACCATTCTTCCTAAGACGCTGTGCCAAATGGAAAAAAGCATTTGCAGTAACTCATTCTTTTTTAGTATTGGATAATTTACTTCTCTCCTTCAATTTAACGGAGATTGCCATTTTCCATTCTCACCAGGGATTATGTCCTCTTTAGCTTTGCTGACTGCAGAGCTAAATCCTAACCCAAAGAACTGTCTTAACATTGCAAGGAGAGCTTGGACAGTTTAACAGTGGCTGTGGGTTTCTTGTTCTCTCTGCAGTCATTTAGCCTGCGATGAAGAGAGAGTGGAGGAGGCAAAGCTGCTGGTGTCTCATGGTGCAAGTATTCACATTGAGAATAAAGAAGAGCTGACCCCACTGAAAGTGGCAAAGGGTGGCCTGGGAGCCATCCTTAAAAGAATGGTGGAAGGCTAGAGGGGGCTTCCCACTTGAGTCTCTCTCCTGTTGCACTTCTATTTAAGACTGCAAACTTCATATTTTGATAGTTCAACTAGGATGTCATTTATGGTATCAGCATGGTAATGAAATGTTTTTATTGAAGCTGTCCTTCTAATGCAGTGCCAAAAAACCTCTTTGTACTTCCTGTTAATTAAATAGTTCACTGATTTTAAAGTATTTTTTAATATCTTGCAGTTTTCTTTCTGTTTACTGTGTGATGTGTATAAATATGGTATTCCTTCTACTTCAGGTGCCAGTTTAGAATTATTTCTTTCAGAAAACAGAACCAAAAATGTTTTAACCATTTAAAGCAAATTTTTATTTTCTTCTAGAGTCTTTTTTTTCTTCTTAGCCTTTGTGTTTTGTGGGTACTGATTGTCTTTTTATTGATGTTTCTAAGCTACACTGTATTTCTCTGTATTTGTAGAATGCAGTTTGCTTAGTTACTTAGATAATTGTATCCATTTTTACTACTCTTGCTACATTGAGATCTGTGTGTTTAAAGCTTTTCTGTTGTTACTGGTTGTTATCTCTGACTCTTTAAATACATGTATTTAATGAAGTTGTACTGGGTCTACTTGCAGAATGCAAGCACAGTTTCAGGGTTACCTCTGCAAACACACTGTTTTATAATGGATGGCTCTAGATACTCCTCTGGGATGTACTCAAATATTTTTTCTTCTTGCTCCTTTTGAATGTTCCTTTTTCTGTTCTCTTTGACTCTCATATGCAGCACTGACACTTGCAGTTTACCATCTTATTTTATAACAGAAGTCTGGTTTAATCTTTATTTGCTCATAGCAAATCCTGATATTAAGTTATTACAAGGCAGAGTCTGAAAGGTGACCTCCTGTCTTGATGTTGATAAGATCATTTTTGACACCAGTGGATAGATTTCCCCATGAACAAAGGATGAAATTCTGTGAAATAAAGAACTTTCCTAAACAACAGTCTTTGGTATTATAAAACTTTATTAAACTTAAATGTAAGAAAACCAGTACTTTCTAAGTAGCTTGTATGTCTGGGACATGAACAATGAGATGAAACCCTGCCATCTGCTACACAGTATGGAAATGCAACATATTTGATCTTCAGCCTCAAAGAAAGGGTGAAATGCAAGCTGACAGTTTCTACAGTTTGGCTTGTAGGGATTAAGGTAATGCAATTTATTTTAATAAGCAAGACAGAAACTTACAACCAAACAAATACCTTCACCAAGGACTTTAAATGTATCTTAGTTCACAAAATGCAGGTTAAATTCCACTGAGGGGACTCATTAGGGACAGGAGAGATATTCGGGCCATGCAGACCTTGACTGAAGGAGGAACCTGAGTAAATGTTTTTTATATATTGCACAGGCACTGCTGAAAATTTGATTGGAGAGCAGCTGAAGGTAAGAGTTCTGTGTTCATTCTTCATCTCTGTATAGCAAAAAACTGCTCCTCTGTAGCTTTGTAAATCTACTTCCTTAGGAGATGGTAGCTTGAATGTTGGCATAATATTGGGTGTCCATATTAATAATCCCTGTTCCCTATGGGAAGATAAATGGGCCATGCAGCAAAGACTGTTGGAACATCTAAAGCAAATTCTGAAAAATGTTTCTGCATCCCTGCATAGTTCTGCAGGGTTTTAGAGCTACACACTGTGGATCAGTAACTAATTTGACTTGTGCTTTGCCAAGAGTATCAGTGAGAAACTAGGAACAGTGTCCAATCCTTTTCAATAAACTTTAGATAGACTCCATAATGAGAAAAAACATCTGCCAGAAGGTTTACAGAAAACACTGCACTATGGTAAGAAACTCCAAATAGATGTTATTTTCCTTACCTCCTTACTCCCAGCAGCCTATTTTACTTCTTATTTTGCATTTTTACTACCATTACTCACTGGCAGTTAGAAGTATGAGAGGAACCATTAGTCAAGAATATGGTCATTAGTTCCTTTCTTTTATATAAAAACTTTAACATAACTTGAGCAATTTCTACTTTTTGAACAAATATAAAACCTGTGGTGTTCTAGGAAGACTGTACTATCTATAGAAGTGTCTGACAACTTCACCAGCATAAGCTCCTATCTTACTGTAGCAAGTTGTAAGGAAAACAAGCAGATAAATGTGTGTGAGATGAAGGAAAGATTAGAAGAAATATAACCACGTAGTACAGTCTACTCTTCAATCACAGCAGTGCTGTTGCAGAGATGTGGAAGTTGGAAAGGTGTAGCAGTAAGAGCAGTGTGACAATGTGTACATGCAGGAAGTGTCTTCAGAAGAACTAATACAGCTGTAATGGTGACATGAAGACATTCAGGTTTTCCTATGAAGGTCGAGAGTAAAAGAATGCTTAGGAATGTCAGAAATTATTTTAAATTATTGCTGCTGTCAGCCAAGCCTTTGGACCAATAATTGATTTGAATTACATCATCAGGAAACACTTTCAGTAAGAAATAGGACCCAAAGAACATCAGGTAGTACTTACTGTTCCCTTGTTTCTGAGTGTGTTTAATGTCATCATCCTGCAAGTTTACATAAATTGGCTGTCAGTATCAGGTTTTCTCAGTAAGCTGCTTAACTTGGATGGCAGGATGTGAGTTAGGAATTTGGCCTGGCACAGTTGTCACAAGTCAGTAAGACCTGCCTGATTAAGGATACTTCTGTAAAGATCCCAGTTTGAGATTTACTCTGGATATTTTGGGGAGAGAGGATTCACTGCTACAGCATGACAGTGTTGGTATTAGCAAGGGTGTGACCCTCACAGTCTGGCACAAACAGTTATCAGCTAAGATAGTATTAGAAGAACACCATTAATGTTCTTTTACTCTGGAATGAAGCTAAATATTTTGATAGGAAACACCTATCAAAGAAAAATATTTGAAAGTCAGAAAACTGAGGAAAGAGCAATAAATACAGTTATGCTTGAAGATCCAAAATAAATCTCTAATTTATCTTTTTTTTTTTCTTTCTTTTTTTAAATTCACAATCTTGATAAACATGCTGAGACCTGTAGGGACTGAACCTGAAAATTTTAGCCCAGAAATCTTAAAGATAAATGTTGCATATAACTAATGTTTTACTTCAGGAACAGTCACCAAAGGATTTATGAATATTAGATCCTACGAAAGACTTAAGTACCAAATCCTCCAGATCCCTGAGCCAGATATGTTTTCCTGCAGTGCCTGAGACTGAAACCAGTGTCTGCCGGTGTCAGCAGGGCTATGGGTCTGTATTTGCCTAAGCCCCATGGTCCTTGAGCTTTTATGAAAGTACTATCTTTGCCTTTTTGAAAAACTGAGTTTGTGTAACCTTAGAAATAAAGCCCAGGGAGAAGGGTTGTCTAGTGACCCAGGTATGTATGGCTCAATTCCTTTCCTTGTAAGAGGGTGCTCATTACTCAATTTCTGGCTGCTGGTCCACCAGCAATTGAGTAATGTTTGCACCACTTATCTTCTCTCTTGATGCTTTCTACTCTAAAAGATAGATTGTTACACTGGGATAAGAGACTAGAAGAAAAGTAGCATGAGTTTGTTACTTAATGGGTCGGGCTAGCGTGGAAAGAGATTTAAATCATCTCAGGCAGCGATCAAAACTCATGTGCTGTATAGAAGGCAGTATCACTCCTAAGTTTTGAAAGCAGCTATATCTGTGTGTCATGAGGAATGTGATGCTCTGCATGCTTATTGGAACAAGTCTCGCAAAGAATTTAGGTCTCCAGCTTCTATTATGTAGAACATTCATTTGTGTCAGAACTGGGTTCCCAAATACCAGTTCAATTAAACAGAAAACCAGAATTGCTGAAACAACTCTGGAATGCTGGAGCTCTTGGGAACTTTAGACCAAGAAAGTCACTATTAACAGAATGTTTTCAATGTCAGGCAGCAAAGGGATAACATTTTCCAGGATTTTTGGGGTTTTTTTGGTTTTTTTTTTACCTTAAGTGGAATTCAGATGCACAAGATTTTCTTGACGCAGGTCTTAACATCTGTTTCCTGATGACATTAATGTAACTTCTTTTTACTTCTGAGGTGCAAAACTACTTCCTTGAAACACTGCAATGTACTGGCCATGATTATTGTTCTGGTGCACATGAAGCAGGTTGGCTAACACTGTTTCTGGAGAAGGCTGCTGTGGTTCTGAACTGTGTGGACACACAGTGTTACTGATAGTAATGTAGACTGGAAAGTAGGTAGTAGGTAGACCGGAAAGCTCACACTTTGACAAATGCTTCAGCCCATTTCCTAATTGTTTTTGCAAAATAGGTTGGATAAATGTAGATGATACTCTTTTTATACTTAAATTTTTGTACAGTATAATGAGATAATAAAATAAATTTGGTTCGCTTTAAAGGCCAAATCTGCTATTCAAAAAGTGCCTGTGTAACAGACTCTTTGATCCACCCTAGTGGCTCACAATACAAATGCCTTGAATATAAGTTTTAGTCATGCTTCTATGTTAATTCAATTACAGAAATTTTTGTATAAAGTGATCCAAAGGTGATAAAGAAAATTCTGTTATAAACTCTAGTCTGTTTCTTCTTTTCCTGCTTCTTGCTTTTCATAATTTTCAGGAGTTGCAGGAGCTGCTGTTTCATCAACACTTGGGTATTCATTTGTTGCATTGCTCGATGGAACTGTGGTTGCAGGAATGTTTTCTTCATTGGATACCTGAACATAATCTGCATTGGATTGTTTCTGAACCATTTCTCTGCAGAAAGACAGGATTGGGATTGTGATCTCACATGTTGAAATCCTAGGTACACTAGAGTCTTTCAAAATACTGAATCTTTGTATTTGCTATCTGAACAGTAACCCCAATGTTATTACGACTGTTTCAAGATTGTGTGAAAACAACACCACTGATACTGAGACAGAAGGAGTGACTGCATATTAGCTAGAAAGACATTTGCATTGCTGGTTTAAGCGATCCCATTAGAATAGAATTGATTTTAGTGTGTTTAAATGTTATGCCAGGAAAGTGGAAAAGAAAACTGAGCACTGGCAGTGTCTGTGGAGTGATAACAAAACTCACTGCCTGGCGTGAGCTTTCTGGGAACTTCCATGCAGATCTGGTGTCCCACTGAAGTGCATGAAAAATGGAATTCAGTCAGAAAAGAATTAGGAAAAGACCGAAATCCAGAAAAGTAATATATATTTAGTATTTTAGAAAATATGGAAATCTAGAAAAGTATTTTTAGTAACAGGTATTAATTCCATTTATCTTATCAAAATGGTAATAAACCAACTCCCAAAACTGAAGCACTTTCACATAGTAAAAAATATCAGATGCTAGTGGATTAATTAAATGCTGTAAGATTTATTAGGATCCAAGTACAAAACTTAGTTAATTACTTAATTACTTACTATATTAATTAGTTTTTATAGTACTGTATTAGTTATTATTAATATAATTAATATATTTATTAATATAATTACTATAATAATTATTAATTAGTTATTTAATTACTAATTAGCTGTTAATGCTACATTAATTAAAAGCAGAAATCAGGTGCATGAGTGACTGATCACTGCTCTGGATTAACAGAATTCCATATTAGGAAGTCTTAAACCTGTGCTACAGGGAAGTCAGTTTTTTCTGGCCTCAACTGCATGTAGCTATTTAGCATTTAACATCAATGGGCTGAATACAGTCTTTATAGTGCATGAGATTATCCCTATTCTGAAGATTTGGCAATTTAAGGGAAAAATGAGCAACCAAAGCACAGAGAAGAAAACATCTCCAGGAAAGAATCAAAATGGACAGTCTGGGCTGCATTCTGTTGTCTAAACCTTGTGTTTCCTGCAATCTGAGATGCCTGGAAGTATCCCAAATGTATGTCCTGTAATTTCAGATAGCACTAATCCTCTTGTTTAAATCCCAGTAAATTTCCTGAGATAACCCTTAGCTGCTCTTTATTTTCTTTTTTTACTTCCTCCAACTGCTTTTAACAGATCCCATTAACTTTAAATCTAAAGAGCTGTTTTTATAACTTGCCACTTCAGTTTGTGTTGTTTAAAAATACTTACTTCACTGTTTTAGATACTGCTAAGTGGTAGCTGCCTGTTAAAATAGGGAAGAGAGCAAGGGCACCTTCTGTTAAAAGATCAACAGGTAAAAAGTCCCCTAAAAGTAGATGTTTACTCTGGAAGTTTTCTCAAAACTTGCATTATGCATATCCTTTAGTTCTGGATTGTCAGTAGTGCTTTACAAAATAATTGTCTTAAAATGAAGCAAACAGAAATTCTTACTGCATCTCATTATTTAGTGATTTCTTATTTTTTGCCTTCTTGGTTAAGGCCCAGACGATAATGCAAATTATAGCAGCTGCCAGAATTGCTCCAATCAGTGCTCCAGCAACAACACCACCATCTGAATCTGCAAGGAAAAAGAAAAAAAATATTACTTAACTTTTTTAAAACACAGTAGTATAGCAAAATCCCATGGAAATTTAGTGCAGGAACCTTTAGCAGAAAGAGGGGATTAAATTAAAAGAATTCTTTCCAGGAGGGCGATAAGAGATGCTCCAGGAAAGTGAGAGCTCTGTGCTTGAGTGGTCTTTGCTGCCTCCTTTGTCATTGGGTAGCTCTCTATCCCAACAAACTCTCTGTTTATGCCTGGCTAAAGGAATCATTGGGCTGTGATACCGAATAATAGCTAAAAGCCTTTGCTTTTCAATCATCGCAAACACATACTGATATTCAGGTTGCCTTTATTTCTGTCTTTCAGCTAGTAGTCGCACCTACAGTGCACCAGTCCTTGTACGACCACGTTTTACTGATGGTTGTAATTTCTGGGGTGTGGAGACCTCTGTGGGACTATCGTCTGGAAGAAACAGCTCAAACTCCTTGTCTGTTCTCAGTAAAGACTCTGCAGTCAGAACTAGGTCCAGCTCCTGCTCCTTGCAGGAAATTTAAGTGGGGATATTAAATCCATTTTCTAGGTCATTGTAAAGTCTGGGCAGGCCTGGATGAAAAATCCGGAGCTCTCCAAATCCTGTTCTGTTTTATTTAAAAAATAAAAATAAAAAAATCTAAGCTTCAAAGTTGTTAAAGGATTTTCCTGCATGCTATGTACGTCCACCATCAAAGATGTGATTACTTTCATGCATTACACTTACATTTTGCCGTTAGGTCAAGCTCACAGGTGCTGTTCCCCAGGAGGTTGCTTGCTATGCACCGATAGTAGCCAGTTTCAAAAGTGGTGAGGTTGCCGATGTACAGGATGCCAGAGTTTGGATCTGCGACAAGTGGAGAGCAGGTACATGTTACTGTTTGTATTCTGTAGAGGCAAAACATTTCTCTGTAGTGGGTAACAGAGCTATTCAGATATTAGAAAAAGGGTCCACTGATTACTGATTTGTGTGGGTTTTTTATATTCTTTAAATATAAAACATATTCTTTCCTTGAAAATTGCTTCAGTGGATTCTGTGGGGGTGTATTAGAAGCCCCTACTCTGCCAACCAGTCTGGCTGATGTTTTACCCACATTAATACTGTGGTTGTCTGTGTAACTTCACAAATGAAAGTGTAACAGGTCCAGAAGATTTTTGAGAGGGAAGTATGTGCTAGTACTTGAATGACAAATTGATTCAATTTAAATTCACTCAAAATTTCAAGGGAAGAGATGTAGAGGCATAAATATTTCTCTCATTTTAACAATTTAAAAATGTGGACAGGACTTCAATTTCTTTTTATTAAGTAGAAAAAGCATCCTGTGTTTTTGACAGCTGTCAGTTGATTTGAATAAGTAAAAATATGATTCTGTGACACTGACTATTGGAAAAGGAGGATAAATTTTAATTAGCCATTTGAAATGCTGGAATTTCAGATCCTGAACATGGTGTGTTAATCCTGTAGTTACATACTAAGTTGTTCTGTCACAGGCTTGAGGGTGTTCTCATTGACTTTGTACCAGCGGTAGTTGGGGCGAGGCAATCCCTCTTCACAGTTGCATAGGAGGTAGATTAGATGGCCTTTTTCAGGTGTTCCTTCTACTTTGCAGAAAGGTTTTGATGGTTTTACTGTAAAATAAAAAAGGACAAATCAGGAGTGCATACCCAGGGCTGCAAACATTAACCTCAAGTTCTAGTACCATACTGCTCTAAGCAAAGACCTGAAGCCCATCTACAGGTTTCCTTCCAAGAACAGTCTCATTTATCAAACTGACCAAAGCCTCTCCCATTGAAAAATTTATGGCCTAGGTACATGGCCTAGGGTACAGTTTTATTATCTTCCATTTGCATATTAACTATTATTAAGGAGGTGTTGAGACTATGACTATCAATTGTTTTCATTGTAATGGGCCACTCACTAGTCACCATACACCATTCTGCCACATAGCAACATCAGTCTCTTTAGAGACATGACGGGAGCATTTCTGCTTCTGCAGAGAGGGAGAGGATCAAGGCCCGATCCTTTCAGTATATTAACAGTTGTGAAGGAAATAAATCAGCTATAGTTCTGTTAGAAAAATGTATCTGTTTTTACATAATGTCCTCACTTGGCACAAAAGGGAAATTCTGTCTTTACTTTCATCCATTGTTTTTCATTTCCTACCTCTGGATATGCTTTTGTGGTTCTTTAGAGTGCTGTCAAGGGAAACTACCAGCAATGAACGCAGCTCAAACCAGCAATTTTTCTTTTTTCTTGCATTCTTTTACTCAACTGCTCCAAGATTTACTAATTATTTTGGGAATTTTAGATGAGAATTATCAATAGTACTTTGTTTTTTTCAGGAAATGAGTTTACATATATCCTTTTCTTATCCCTGGAAGATAGGCAAGTGATGTTGGAATCACATTTCCGTATGTCTGTGATTTGTCACTCTGATCAGCTATGAATTCTCAAGATAAAAGGAGTTATTAGTCAGGGTTAGTACAATCTTCTGTCTTATTAGGAAATAAAATATTTAATTCCACTGCTTTTCATCCTTTCTGTTCTGCCTATTCATGGTTGAACTATTGCTTTCTTTCATGCAGAACAAACTTTGTACTACTTTTATCTAACACATACTAAGTTTCTAGCAGTTTTGAGAATTGATGTGAGCCAGAACTCTTAGTCTGTGGTGCTGCCTCTCCCTAGATTTATGCAAGTCATCATGATCAACATTAGGTAAAATTAGCAAAGTTTTGGACTGTGCTCGGGTTGTATGTAATGGTTTCAGTGAGAAGTTGTCACTCCCAGCTAAAATGGTGTTTTATTTTAACCAAAACTAGTATCACTTTGTTTTCCTGTATGAAAGATGGAGTGAAGCTGGGTAGAGAAAACTGAAATTTGACTGCAGTTCAGGCAAAGGCAGCTGTGGAGTGCAACAGGTCAGCTGCAGCTGTAAGCTAGAGGGCACCCAGGCTCTGCCTGCCTCCAGGGCCCTTGGAAGCACTCTGCAGCGGTGACTGAGGGAGCTTCCCTCTGCATCATGGGCCTTGTTTACCACAGCCTGTTATTCCCTCTGGCTGTACTTATTTTGAGCTGTGAATTCAGTGTTTCATAATACAGAAAGAAAAAGACAATACAGCAATAGAGACCCAAGGCGCTTACCCAGCACACTGACAATCACTGATTTTTGACTCTGTCCAGCATCACCCTGAGGGCTGAAAACTTCACAGGTGTAGGAGCCAGTGTCTGAGGGCTGCATGTTGGAGATTGTTATTGATGCATTCCCTGGACTTGTTGAAGCTGTTATCCTGTTCTTAAATGCTCCATAGGAGTAAGACTGGCCTCCTGAATAATAATAGATCTGTGACAAAGAAACAATTGTTAGTTTAATAACAAAAGATCCTTCTGCTTTGTTTGGTACTCAGAATATATTTGATTTCTGATTAAAGCCAAGCAATGTCACCCCCTTTCTTGCCTCCTCCCTCAAGAATGCAGAAATGAAAGTGTGGTGCATTTGAATATATACTTCTAAAGTTTCTTAAAAGACAACCTTTTCAGAATGGTATTTTTAATTGTGTAATTGTCAGTAGTTAAATCTCCGTTGGATACTCCAAGCAGACTGATGCAATTGCAAAAACAGAGGTGAGACTATTGACCATCACATGACAATTCTGTGAAAAAAAGCTAAGTCATGCACAGTGAATAATCATATTAATTGCAGCACTGATAATTTGTGATAGCATTAATAAGTGGCTCAGTAGAAGATTATGACAAGGATGGACCTTTCGTTGGAAAAAGTAAGTAGCTGCAGAGCTTTCCAAATACAGAATCTGGCAAACAGAGGACTGAAATGCATTCACAAGACAAAGGTCTAAGCAAATAAGGTACCTGATCTGTTTGCAGTAAATTTGAAAGCCATAAGGATGCAATACAAGAACAGAGCAGAATCATCACATATGCAATTAGAGCAGTAATGCTGTTTTTGTTTGTGTCATCAGCACTGGAGACATCGTCATGGACTATCTTGGTTTTTTGAATTTATACCAGGGAGAAAGTAAAGAATACCAGCTGGCCTCAGTGCTTGGGGGTTTTCTATTTGGGATCAAGAAGTTCCCCTTTTACTAAATAGTAAAAAATGTTTTGCCAAATGATATACATAGTAAGGATAAATGTTTCTAAGGAATGCAACATTTCCTCACAAATGAAAATTGCTGATTTAACATTGACCGATTTCACTGACTTCAGTAGTGTCAATTGATCTTAGCAACATTGTGGAGTAGAAATGGCCTCATATGCCCAAATTTGCTGTCTGCTGATGGAAAGGAAAGGTAGAATTGTTCACTGTGGAGCCTTGGATGGCAGTCTGAGCCTTGGGCCCTGTGTCTTTTTAGGAACTGCAGTATCTCATCTACTCTGGGGAAATATAATATCAAGGAGTACCTGCCTCTGTCCAATCTAACTCTGCTCTGAAACCAAGATCTGAAAGAACAAAGATGTGAAAAACTACGATTCATTTTTCTGAGGTGTTAATGATAGTGTTGTGTGAAAGTGACAGTATTTGGGATAGGCAGTATGTTCCCCCAGAGTCTACATGCACACACTAGGCAAAGTGAACAGTTTCAGAACACTCAGTCATTTCTCTAAACTGGTGAGAGGTGTCCATATAGAATTACAGGTTGTGACCCAAATAGATATAAATCCTACTGGCAATAGATATTGCTCCTACTGGTAATATTCCAGAATCATCAGTGTAAATGTATTTTCTGAAGTTGAAGTAACAGCATGTTTTTTAATGGAAATAGTGAGAAAATGCTTGTAGGAAAAGGTTTCACAGACTCCTCTTCACAGGCCATTCTCACTTGACTAGTAGAAAAATATCCTTTCGCTCAAAGTTCCCTGCCTTTTAGGGATACTGCAGAAGTATAGTTTGCTTTACTTTGCAGATCAACTGATTGCATTTTGACTTTAGAATATTAATTCTGTTTATCCTCCCTGATATGGTGTTGACTGAAGTCTTTAAGAAATGTTATCTAAAAGCCTTTATTAGCTTAAGGCAAGGTACTCTCCAAAACTGTCAGAGCACAGCTGGTTTATGCAAAGATATGGCTTTGAAATGAAGGTCAGAATCCAGCTTGCACAGCACCAGCAGCTCCAGGACTGCAGCATGTCCCCATCTCAAGAGCAATTTTGCATATTGCTCAGCCAGACTTTATCTTTCCCTGCCCCAGCATTACAAACACCAGGTACAATTGATGCAGAGCTCTGAACACCAAAGCATTCCCAAGGTGTAGAACACTGGTGGTACAGTGGGAAAGCGTAAGAGTTACAGGGTTAGCTCAATGACAGACCTAGTTAGAAAGTCTGCTGAAGCTGGATACTCCTCCCAGTTTCCATGTTTCCATCCCAGTGCCTGGAATACCATCAGTTTTAAAACTGATTTTATGCTTTGCATAAAATGTCTAGAGATGTAACTCTATTGCCAAGCCAAAGTCTGGATGGACACACTGTACTCTCTGGGAAAGGAAAGTGTTCAAAATAGGGTGTTTGGTTTAAGCAAATCACTCATCAAAATAGTTGTCTACCTGGAATTACAAAAACACACTAGCCACATTAGTCTCATTCTACATTTACCTGAGTGTGAGCAATAGCAGAGTACTATTTATCACTGTTTCTTGCAAGAGTCTGAACTTACAAGAGCTGTGACTTGTGACTTCAGCCTCTTCTGAGGCTGATGTCCCTGAATAGCTCTCAACAGTGATGGGCTGGATTTTCATCTCCTCTCCATCAACTGCACTGTTGGAGTAGGGCAGTGAAAGGGGTTCCATCAGCTCTTTGCACTAATGTGAAATTAAGCTCTACAATTATTTAAATTAAGTAATGTGAGTCTTGCTGCAGCATGAGAGGAGTGGCAGGCCCATCATACCCTATTAAAGGCTTGATTGTTGGAAAAATGGACTAAATTCTACTCAATCTACCTCAGAGTGATCTGGGATTATGTGAGAGTAAAGAGTAGTAGAAGGGGTCCACTGAATGCTCATTAAGATACAGCACATCTTCCTGGGAATGAGACTGGCACTGCAAGTCATAAATGCAGTCAGGGCATGCCAGTAAAACTGTAGAGGAGTAAGTGCTCCTTGGTATATTGGACCTGGAGTCAGGGTGAATTACATGCTTAAATCCTCACACAGTGCACTGAAAAATTAATCCTTTGTGTTCTCTCTTTCTGAGTCAATGAATGCAGAGAAAATATTTTGTATAGCCTGTTAAATCTGAGGCAGGTGTCAACACAGCAGAGACTATTTCTTCTCTTCATAGATTCAAATGGAGTCTTACTGGGTCAGTTTTTGTCAGCTGTGAACAAAAAGGCAGTGAAACATTCTCAGGCAATATATTCAGTTCCTCTGCAGGCTCCTGCCTGTTCCCTGTTCTCTCCTGTTGGATGCTTAGCTCCTTGGCGCTGGAGTTCATTGCCTGAAAGAAGGTGGTAAACACCAAAAAGGCTGAATAATGTTCTGATTAATTGCTGAGTGTATATCTTGTCCCCGAGGTATGATTGGATTGTGTACACAGGAATTTCATTTAAGAGGAATATGTTTCAGTTAATTGGCTGTGAATTCATAGTCAATTTTTAAAAATATACTCAAAATGGGTATTTTAAACCCTAGTTCAAAGTGGTTTTATGCTGTCCTTGAGAAGCTAGTTTGTGGCTTTCAGAAAACTGAAATGAAAATCTTTGCAAAAGTGTTTCTGTTTCAATTCAAAAGTTAAAAAAACTTGTTTTCTGTTGAAGATATGGAACACTCCTTGGTTTTGGGCAACTGCCAGCTAATGTTTCCTCCTACAGACACAAATTACCTAAAATGTGTGTATGGGAAAACTGCATATTTAGTCAATGGTAGACTTTTCCTGGAAACCTTTTTAATCTTAGTTTAATGCTTGGTTTAAGCAAATCACTCATCAAAAAAGATGTCTACCTGGAATTAGAAAAACATACTAGCCAATATATGACCAATATATTTTAAGTGCACCATCCTAAATGCAAAAAAATACAAAAGAAATCTGCTGTACTTTCCTTCAAACACTAAGTTTTTCATGTCCTCAAGCAAATCATGAGCAGTTCTAGTAAAGTTGATGATTTACCAGAGCAGAAACAATATTGAGGGTGCATTAATGGTTGTTGCTCCTCCTTATCAGCTAGTTTGTTCAGCAAGTTATATAATGGTGCCTTTTCACAATTCATGGAAGCAACTGCCTGAGTGACTAATCAAACAACTGTCGGAGAGGAGAGGAGGGGAGGGGAGGGGNGGAAGGGAAGGGAAGGGAAGGGAAGGGAAGGGAAGGGAAGGGAAGGGATTATCACTCCTAAAACTGTTGTCTCTAATAACTTAATAATCTGAGACACTAGTTTCTACTAAACAGAAAAGTTGCCTAGAAGACATCTCCCTGATCTTAGAAAGGGTTGCAGTTTAATTGGTTTTTCAACCTGTGAGCCAGGCAGTGCCTAGAGCTGCTGTCTCCAGCCAGCCATCCTTCCAGGCCTGCTGAGGCAGTGCTGCGGTTACCCTTCATGTCCACAGGTAGTTTCTTCTAGAGTGATGGTGTGGAAAATATTTGCTTGCAGAGAAAGCAGTCAGCAGAGCTGATGCTGAGTTGAGGACTTCCAAAGGCTGCCAGATGTTTGGCAGAGTGTGAGGAATCCACCTACAGGTTTTTGTTACACAACTTCTGTAGAAAGATCTTCCTTAGGGTGTGAAGGGGGTGTGTGAAGAGGCAGGAAATTAGAAGAAACATGCCTCCCTCTGCTTCTCCTCGTCTTTTGACAGGACAAATATATACTAGAATTTGTGTAAATATATGTCCTTCAGATGGCTTTGGATGGACTTGCCTGAACAAGATAGCTGGTAAAGAGGTACAACCATTAATGCACCCTCAATATTGTTTCTGCTCTCGTAAATCATCAACTTCACTAGAGCTGCTCATGATTTGCTTGACGACATGAAAAGCTTATTGTTTGAAGGAAAGTACGGCAGATTTCTTTTTGATTTTTGTTTGGTTGGTTGGTTAGTTTTGGGTTGTTTTTTTTTGCATTCAGGATGGTGCACTTAAAATATATTTGCCACACATAGATTAAAAAGGTTTCCAGAAAATGTCTGCCATTCAGGTCAATACCCCTTCACCCCCATCTTCTGGAGTCACTGCACCACAATACTGTACATGCCTAGTACTTAGGCATAATCAAAGTTATAAGACGAGATGTACTTGAAGTGCATTACAAAGTGTCCTGCTTAATCTCCACAGAATCCTGACTTCCTCACTTGGGGGCAGTTTCAGTTTCCCCCACCAGCACATGTAAAGCTCTAGCATCCTGCTGGATGATGTTTTTCTGATAGAGTCAGCATGTGACTCACAGTCTTTGCCTGGAGAGCTGGAAAGCTCCAGCATCCAGAGAGCCTTGTCATTGGGTTGGTTTGACATTTTCTGTTTGACATTTTTTCAAGCTACTAGAAAATTGAGGATATTAACAACCTTACTGGTTTCAGATCATGATCTCTTTTTGAATTCTGAGGACAGACAGAATTTATAAAATAACAACCAGGGGGAAAAATGTTCATTGCTTTCTTAAGCATCTTACCATGTAATTATAGAACAAATGCTGCACACTCAGTGTCAATGAAGGCCCAAAGCTCAGGTTAAGAACTCAGCTAGCTAAGAAAGCAAATGTTCACACGTATTGGTTTCTTTGATGTGTGTCACATGACTGAGTCTGGGCCCAAATCCCATATTTCATCCACAGCTTCTTTTCACATATTTTTGTCAAAACTCTGATCTGGCAGAAGGTAGTAGGGATATTATAGGGATATCCCTTACTTGGGCTTTTTCCCTTGCTGGGAATGGAGGATATTAATAATGACAAGAAGTGTCTTGTCACAATAGTGCATTGGTAGAAGAAAGGGAGGGAGTCAGAAGCCTTTAGAGGATTACTCATTCAGCAGCTTTAACTGATGCAAATATACTGAAGGAGCAGCTCTTTCATGTTCTTACAGTATCATTCCTGTGGCTGAACTATTAGTGAATAATTCCTACAGTGCATCAAGAAAAAATGTGTTTTCTTAGTCCATTTGGTGTAATTGCTCTTCAGCAGTTATTATTAGACCTCAGTTTACATTGGGCTGTACCCTGTACTTCATGGTGAGATAGGAATCCTGCAGCAGTCAGAGTTTGGAATGGATTATGGCTGGAACACTGAGCTGACAGCTGTGAGGAAGCTGGTTCATCTCAGTGTCCTCGATATTCATCACATCTCAAAATGTTTTTATATTCTAGAAAGGAGACCCAGGATGTTTGTTTTTTTCCCTATGTAAATATGTAGCCCCAAGTTTGGGCTATCCAGTCTTCCTCACATTCAGCCCAGAGGTTCCTTGTGGGTACACACGCCCTTCAAATAACCTTTAGGTAGAATATTCCTGAAGGTGCCAGTTCAGCCACCTAGAATAGGTGGGGGAAAAAAAACCCAACACAACAGTTACATCTAAAATAATTTTGACAGAGAAAAAAGCAGTAAAAAATAGGGTGAGTTAAAAGTTCTGAATGATGCATCCAATTAAACTTATTTCAGTCATGTGCCAGTTTTGAGATTTCAATACAGAATATGAATACAGGTTTCACAGTAGCACAAATCTAGTAGAAGCTATTTAGCTCTGTTTCCCCCCTTAAGATTATGGGGATTGTTTTCTTACCTTGTATCTCCAGCTACATCTTCCCCGTGCATCTGTCACATACACCATCTTTTGACAAAGACTGACTGACTTTTCATCCATACTCAGAATACCGTGACATGGGGAACGCTGTATTTGAGTAAAAATGTGCTGATCTGAGAGTTAAATGAGACTTTAAATGTTCCCCCAACATCAAAGAGCCACTTCTCCACACAGTTCCCCACCTACCATCCACGCTGATCACAAGGGTGGGGTTCCTCATGTTCTATTTTTATGCAGAAAGTATCTCAGGCCTTGTCAACCACAAGATGTAACTGAAACTTATTCCTTAATTCAACCTAAAATTAGTCAAACTAAGATTGAAATCTAGTGTTTGCTCCAAACATCCCAGTTACAACCTGATTATTTTCTACTTGTCTGCAGTTCCCTTTGTCATAACCACAGCCAGTCCACCACAGACCCGCTGACATCCAGAGTCACATGGCAACAGTTATCTCCATTCCTCTCATTGGAGGTGCTGCCTCTGCTTTCCATGAAGCTGTAACTTACAGTTCCTGCTCAGTCATCTAAGTGCTAGATAAAATTTGGTTGTAAAAAATCACCCCTAGGCAAAAAAAAAAAAAAATGCTTACAGATGAGAGAGGCCCTTTCCAGGAAGTTTTCCTGTACTGCCTCAGGAGGTACTTCACACAGGCTCATCTTTCTCATGGGCTGGAATGGACTGCTCTGCTCCCAAGCTGGTGTCCACTGCAGCACTTACAGCCTCTGCAACACAGGATCTCAGGTGTCTTGAGGCTGAAAGTGTGTGAAGTTGTCCCCTGAACTGCTCAGGGTACATGGAGGGGAAATTGTTCTTTCAGAAGCTTTACTGAAAATTACAGGGCTGGCTGGCCTCTGGCTCTCACCTGGGGTAGCCCAGTGCCCATGGCTGTGTCTTGCTTTGTGCTGGGCAGCAGAGTTGTGCTGGTATTAGGACTACAGATAATCTGAATTTGGGGTGTCAGGGTGGAAGGAGCTGACGCATCTGTGCTCAGGTCACTCTTCTTGATTCTTTCCTACTTTGGCCTTTCCCTCCTTGTCCCTTATTGCTGACCAATGTTCCACAAGTTTGGGTTTTTTTTAGAAGGTTTTCATAAGAAGTCTATCAATAATACTGTTTTGCCTAAAAGTAACAGGTATCCATGACCTTTACTCATATGGTGAATTTAAAATTTCAATCAAGAATCCTGCCCTGGGCACATCTTGCTTAGCCAGGTAGTGTCCCTGATCATTTCACTGACTTTAGCTGTGGGTGGCCTGGGCTGGAGGCTCAAGGTGTGGCCCAGGTTAGGTTAGTTGTATTTAGTAGTTGGGAGTTGCATTTATCTTTGCAAGGCTGCAGCCTCACCCATGAAGAGTCAACAGAGGCTTCAGCTTTCAAACATTTACTTAGGTGCTTTACACTGGGGCCACCTGAGTGACTCAGAGCATAAAATGAAGCACAGATGTAGGTATTATTTAAAACTTAAATTCAGCATTAAAGGACATGTTGCTAAGGGCTAAATGGCAAAAATAAAAAGTTTAAAATATGTATGGCATCCAATTTTCCATGATTTTATACAAAGTTTATATTCACCTACTATGTAAAGCTGTGGGATCTTCGAAACAGTGCTGTGAACAGAGCTGGCTCTGTTTGCTTCCTCCCTTTTTATTGTGCTGCCTGTGAGCAGCCTGGCTGTGGTATCTCCTCCTTGCCCATGGTGTAACTGCCAAAGTCAGAGCTGTTGAGCACCTGTGGCAGCCCTAGAGAGGGTGGGCAAAGCAGAACAGGGCATGAAAACACCAGAACAAGCAGCAAAAGACAAAACCAACCTCACAAAGGCTGTGCTGGGAGGCAGATCTGCATCAGTAGCAGGGCTGCAAAGTAATGAAAAGTACAGCCTCCCCTTGATGCAAGGTAAAATCTGGTGCTGGTTACTTACAGACATTAAATTAACACTGGCACTAGTAAGGTTCCTGGCCTTACTGATTACACTCCAGCCAGATATGTACCTGAACTTACGGATCTCAAAACACTGAAAAATCTGTACTGTAAGTGGCAGTGTAAAATAAAGAGGTACCTATGGCCTCTGCTTTTTATATGTTATGTATTAAAATCTAGTAATTTAACCCTCCTATTCATTAATGCTTAAAGCCAAAAGCTTCTTAATAGTATAACTTTGCCTTAATTATATATAGTATTTATAAATGTATATGATGTTTACAGCTTGCTCTGTTATTTGTTGCTACTAGAGAGAAAGGGCCATGTTCTCAATTGTTTAAATAAACAGTATTTATTAAAATCAATTTTTTTTCCACACATATTTGTCACAGAGAATATCTCCTCTGCTTAATCTTATTACTTTGAGGATAGTGCCCATGTGAATAACATGATCATCATATTAAGATGTCAGAAATATTTTAAAATTTAGAAGGTAGGAGATGTATTTTCTGTAACTTTTTTACAAAAATTGTAAGTCTCCTGTCTTCAAAATATTTGTCAGAATTTTTCACTATTCAAAAATGGAATTTGAAAATGTTATCCAATTAGTTGCTGAAAAAAAATGACAAATTTTGACTAGAGCCAGAATTTTCAACACATTTTTCAGGGCAAATATATGCTATTTATAAGGAAGTGTTTGGTATTTTATTATGGATCTGTTAGAAGAATCTAAATATCTCATAAAATTAAATAATTTTATTCCAGTTAAAATTCAAACTATTGTTCTGGTATTCGGTAAGATATGGTGCCAATCTTTCCAGTATAGTTGAGTTTGTCCTCTTACCAGCACAATAAATATATTTTTGAATTGTGAATATATTAGTGTTGTTTTATCTAAACAAAGAAAGCCAAAGCTGGCAGCCTCCTCCATTTTCATGCATTTGTCTCCTACTTGGAGCAACATATGAAACTTAATTCAGCTATGTGCCAAGCCACCAGGGCAAAGCCAGGTTTGTAGAGAGATTATCTTTTTGTTTAAATTTGTGGGAGAAAGACATGTGGGCTTTCAGGTTCCCAGTCCTTTCTGAAACTCAGAAGAGTTGTCAGCCTGAAATGGAAATACCAGCCTCATTCAGATGGAGGGTGAAAATCCAACTTTATGTTCAGCTGTGTTGTGTGATTTCTTAAACCATATTTTCTGCAAGCAATCACTTTCTTCCCAGTGTTTGCATTAACACCATTAATTTTATTGTGAATAGGTTCAAAATGGTAAGAAATTGCCAGGTGGTGGTAAAAGGATACAGGGTCAAGTAATACAGGACTGAATGGGTTGCTGGGAGCATCTTAAAAAAAGCAGTGCCCCAGTCCTGCATCCTCCAGGGACACCAGCAGGTTCCAGGGAGCAAAGGGATCACTGAGCCTCACTGAGCAGGGCAGCCCAGGAGAACTGGAGCTGCAGTGAGAAGAGATTGTGCCTTGGTGTTCAAGGAGGATGGGATTTGCACCAACCCATGCCCTTTCCAGATTGAACTGACTTTATGTAATGAAAATCATTCATCACAAATGCAGCCATTACAAATGTGTGAAAGTGAATTTGAATTTGCTGTGAAATTAGTTTCAGATGTGCGAATCCAGCTGCAATTTTTCCCAGTAATGTTTCTCATGGACCTTATGGGCACAACTTTCCCACTGCTTGCAGTGAGAGCTGCAGAAGCTGGGAGGGAGCACTGGAGGGATTGATCTGTAAGGTTTCCCTCACATCAGTTAGTTCTTGTTGAGCTTATTCTGAACCACCCACAGTATTTTATGATTGTAATTTTCAGGGGGTATTTTTCTCATCATTTGCCACAGTTTACAAATGGTTTTCCCCTCCTGGATCTCTTGAAACTCTGTGATTCTCCCTCTAAAATACTTATCTCTATATACTACAATCTGCTTATTTCTTTTGATTGTGACCAGAAAAACTTATGGCATTTAGTGTGTTGCAATATGGAAAATTTGATGCAAGTAGAACAGAAAGACTCTAACCAAACCTGGAGAATGTGAGCTTGATCCTATGTCAGTGCTATACTTCCCAATTGAACAAGTGATTAAAATTTAAAATGTAACCTACTGGATCAAAATTATAATATATTGTACAATATACAACTTAGGAAACCTGTAGCTACCACCCTTTCAGGAATAATTCTTCATTTAATAAAATAATTTTAACTTGAGGAAAGCAAACAATGAGTAACTACTATTCAACTACAATCAGGCACGGTGTGCCTACATCAGTCTGGTATTCAGCTAGTCAGAACTTGGGATGGGCCCAGAATTTGTACTTAGCACTGATGCAGGCTTTATCTGTGGCTGCCTGTGAGTGAGCAGTCCTGTCTTGAGGTTAAATTAAATCCTGTTTTAGGTTAAATTGCCATTTCTTATATATTGACTATTGCTGTTCAATGCCAAATACGTTAGAACCTGCATATTCTGCAAATTACAGGCTAATTGTGCTGAAATTGATAAACCAGATGGAAGGTACAACTGTATCAGCAATATTATTAGGAAACTTGTGAATGGGACAAAAATATCCTGAGTGGGGACTGTGACACCCCTCTAAGTAAAATCTTTTTACTTCAACTCTCAGCTGTAACACCAGGCAGGAGGATTGAACTTTCAGAAAAAAAATAAATGCTGGCAACAGGATAAAAACAATGGGAAATTATTGTTCCACAAGCACTGGCCTGATACCAGACCATGGAAAAGGAATCCCAGTCATCTTCAAGGATTCAGCAACACTTCTAATCTGGATTACTTCTTACAAAGGAATGTGTTGCTGACTGCTCACCACCTGTAGGACTGAGATGATGGGAGCTCATACCTTGTGTGTTATGCTGGGAATGAAATTCATGGGTTCATTTCCCTACCAAAACATAAGATCAGCACATAGTTCTTGAAGTTTGGGCAGTAGTGTGAGTACATATAGATACACCCCATCCCTGACTCCTTCCAAGCAGACCAGGCTGCTCTGCAAGGTCTTTACAGCCACATGAGAGGCTCAGGCTGTGGTTGGACCAAGTCATTGCCTGGTATTTGTGTCCTTCCCAGTCCCATCCATGCTGACACTCCAGCCTACAACACAGTCTCATTATACACCCAGAGTAAGATATTGTCTGGCTTTGCAGCCTCTTGGGGTCTCAGAAAGGGCAGGGACCATTTGCCCTTGACCTGTAATTGTTCTGTTTCCACAGTGACGATCATGGGATGCTGGGAAATATCAATGCAAGTTTTCTGTGGCAAATTTCCTGCTGTGACAACTTTCTGCAGAGTGCTGCCAACACTCTTGCTGCTCACTTTGTGCTCACAGACCACTGTCATGTACAGCACCTCTCACTGAGCTGCCAAAAAGCAATTGCAGTGCCTGAGTCAAGGAGCTCTCATTTGACCCTTAAATGGGGAACAACACATTGTCATAGGCAAGGGCGTCTCACCAGGAAAGCAGCTTTCACAATGGCAGGAAATATTGACCAGAAAAGAGAAAAGGAAGCTGGTCCAGGAGCTTCAGCACTTGTGTGATTTTTGGACACCTGGTCTTTGCTTCACACTTCCTGTGTGACTTGGATCAAGTTGTTTGAGCATCTGAATCACTTTTGTACTTTCTCATCAGTTTGTGAAGGAATTCAGGCATGTCCATGGGAACTAGGAACCTAGTTTGTTTATCTGCTCCTAAATTTCACTGCACCCCAGTCCTTAACCTCTAGGGTAGGAAGCCAAACATTACCTGGTCTGCAGTAAGGATAACCCTATCATACATAAAAAGACTCTTTGATGACTTAAGGATATCTCAAATATAATTTCATAGTAATAATAAGTAGTCTTACGGTATGCAGCTGGCTCTCTTTGGCACTGTAAAAACTCCACTGAATAAAGAAATTTCCCATCGGTCCAGAACTGGTGTATGTGCAGAGGAGGGTTGCATTTCCACCTGTCATGATGTTCACTGTCTTCTCGGGGACGGTCACCACGACCCCGCTGGTGTGGCCTGTGGGCAGTAAGTGTGGTGAGGAGAGATCAGCTGGGGCTGGCCCTGGGAACCACGCAGGAATGCCTTACTTGCTGTGTTACTGAAGAAATTTGTGGGATGTATCTGGTTGTTCTCCTTTTCAGTACAGTTTCCCTTGGCTTTGTGTGGAAATTTCAGAGATAACAAGCAGGGACTGGGTAAAAGCTAGCAAGCAAACAAATCACCCAGAATACTCATGCCCTTACAACAAATAATATTCTTAAAAAGCAGAGTTCCTAAACCCATACTTGTTCTCATTGGCCAATACTCATCTTCTCACTAAGAGTCTGTGGTTAAACTGAACCTTTCTTCTGCACTCAATGCTCTCCTGTGCTTGCACTCTCATTGACAGCTGTGTCTACCCCTCTCTTACACCTTTCTTGCTTTTTTTGTTTTTGTTGCAGTTATTTCTTTAGATATCTATCTCCTTCACTGCAGAGCAGTATTCTCACTTCATACACCCTTGTATTCTGACTGGGACTTGGTGAAACTGTTGGATCCCTCAGGCTGGAGCCCAGAAGCTTTTCTCTGCTCTTCTTTTGCTAATTACTTTTCTTTTGTTTAGGTTTCTAGGAGTTTACTTCCAGAAGATGTTTTTTTTCCCCCAATGCTATTACATTGGAAAAATCAAACTAAACTTTTTGGAAGGGCTTTTACTGTGTGGGTTGTACTGCTTTGAGTTGCTGTGCTAAAGCAGAAAGGGAGCAAACTCAACTTGTGAGCCCTTCCCCATAGTGTTCTGATCAGTCTTGACTAGACAATCATAGTAATGAAAGGAATCAAGCACCACCTTACAATATTTATCTGTTTCTTTCCTCACAGGCAAGGTGATAATTTCATGTTATAATAATTTTCATGTGGGTTTATTGTATATAATAATGATTGAAACAAAGACTTAATTTTTTTTTCTCAATGCAGGATCTGTGTGCCTTATGTTGGGGTGCTGCTTTTGAGAATTTAAGCAGAATCTGCAGTAAAACTAAAGAGTGTTTTGCTGAAATTAACAGCCCTGTGTGAGAAAACATTGTTTATAAAAAGAAATTATCTATATTGTTTATAAAAAGAAATTATCTATTTTATAATTTTTAGCTATGTAAATATTGCAAATTCATGACTTCATACAGTATGCAAACCTATCTGAACTGTTTTCCTTGTTTCATGGCTTCAACAGTAAAAGCTTACTGCAAGGAAGAAAGGAATAAAATCTTTCTGTGTTGATGGTGGCCAGGATGAAAATTACTGGGTTTAAAGTACAACAAGATTTATATTATATGTGAAGACATACAATATAGTGTCATGGGAATGGCTGAAGACTGACCTAAATGTGTCAAACCTGCCTTGGGGAAAGAGGGGATCCCAGGACTGGCTGCCAGTCCTACTTGTCTTGTGGGTTCACAGCAGTTTAATCCTTACTGAAATCAAATATAAAAGCTGTGCCATATTATTTTAGGTATCTCAGATCACTGTTCTCAGCTTTAAGAATTAGTGTTGGCCAGAGGATGATTGTTTCTTGCCACAGTTTACATGTATTTATCTTCTGCTCTTTGCAGGATTAAAGGCACTGTCTTTCAACACAATATTATTACACTGAAAACATCCATTTACTTTATCATTCTCCGGTTTTAGAGTCAGGGGTGCCACAGAGCCTGACTGTTTATAAACTTTTCTTGAATAAATTAATTTTAGCAGAAATTACTCCACAAAGCCTTCTAGTTTCCATAAAACTTTATTTTGAAGAAATACATTTAATTGAAATAATCTTCACTCAAGTAATAAGGCTGTTTAAAGCCAGTACTAATTGCAACATGGATCTTTTGACTGTCAGCAGAGTGAACTGGCCCCACAGAGCCTGTTCCCTCACCACAAATGTTAATGGCAGCTTCACTTTGCACTTATGTCTTCTAACCCCTAATCCCATTTCATACATACAGGTCTTTCGGTTTAAATTTTAAAAAGTACACAAATAAGAAATAACTGAATGAAAACAGCTAGTGTGAACAGGACTATTACTTGTTAAAAATGTCTGATCCATGTCTTGACTCATCAACATTATAGTGTGACTATTTCCTTCCCGCAGAGAAAGTCATTGCAGTTAATTAGGAATCTCCCACTTTCACTGAAGTCTTTTGCAGTTTTCAACACTCATGAAATAAATCCAGGTTTGCTGATCTTTTCTGAGCTGTGGAGGAAGCCCAGTCCTCCAACAGGCTTCCTCCCATCAACACTGAGCCACAACAGAAATCCCCTGTCAGTAGTGCCCACCAATATGGACACGTTGCTAGTCTCAAATCCTTTCAAATTAGAGGACATTGCTTTGAAAAGTATATATGGTACCAATTCTGAATTACTTTTCATATCTAAGGTAAAAATCTGTTGGGTTTATATGTATGTGAGAGTTAGAACACTGAAACTCCAGCTACTTAAAATATACCTATGGCACCCAAACCAGATAATTCCTATTCCAGATAATCTGGAAAAGAAGATGTGGAAACTAATTTTCATTTTCTGTAGTGGATACAAGGGCTGTTCATGTCCATAGAGCATTAAAATGACTGCTTCTGTATATATTAAAAGTAAAGCTTAGCACAATGAAATGCCCTTGAAATAATAATATATAGTTTTCACTATACCATAAAATTCTTGGATTCCACAAAGTATTATGTCCTAATTTAATTTCAGGGAAATCCAAAGATTATTTGCATGCTTTAAGCACCCCCCCAAGTTTTTGGTGGTTGAGGGACTGAGGCATCATTTTCCAGTACTATTATCAGGGGGAGACAAAACCCAAATATGGTAAAACCTGACCTTGAAACATTTGAAAGACCTTAACACTCCCTACAAGACCTCTTTGCCTCTAACTGACATCAGAGCAAAACATTAATCTGTCAAAGCCAAAATTCTGTTCTTGAGCAAAAAGCTCTTACCAGGTAGGGGTAAGTTTGTGGATTTCCATAGAATGGTCTGGCAGTATAGCCATGATTTTTATTCCATCCTGAAATAATTTATCTAGAATGTTCTCCTAGTTTTCTAGTCAGGTTCACCTGCTTTTTTACCTCAACAGGTTCCATCACTATTTCAATCAGTTTGTTATTCTTACCTGCAAGGATGGCCAGAATTGGAAATATCTTCAACATTGTTGCACACACCTTCTTGATGCTGGGAAAGAGACCAGATGCTGCTTCTGGCTTTGACTGAAACTCAACTGTTTTATTTTTTGAAGTTGGGTTTTTTGTTTTCCTTATCAGTTGTGTATCAACACGTCAGTGAGCTGTTTCATTCTCCTTTATCACATGTGTGCCTTTGTCCGACTAGTGGTGTGACTGTTCACTTGAAACTATTTTGTGGGGTTTGAGCAACCAAGAGTTTTGTTAATAATAAACCTTTGAATCAGAGAAGTCCAAATTCTCCCACTTTTGCCAGGGCCCTGCAGTATTTGCCTACCAATGTATTTCCACTGAGTACAAGAAAAGTATTTGTGGAGCTGTTTAGCAGTCAATCTGATTAGTAGTGTTGGGGTCAGGCCTAATATGAATAATCTTTATTTCCTGTTAATTCTGTAATTTCCTTTTAAAAATGGGCATGTGTAGATAATACACTGTGAGTACATTTTCAATTCAAAACAGGTATCTTATACAGTTTGCTCAGCTTCCTGCAGGAGCCAGATTTGCTTTTTGTGCTCTGTGTTGTTTGACTGAGGTTTGATTCAGAGTCCTGAGCTCTGAATCTGTTTGATTCAGAGTCTTGAGCTGCAATGGGAGTAGCTGGCTATGGTACACAGCCATGGGGAGTGAGTGCCTGAAGACAGAGCAGAGGGCGTCATTGCCTTATACATGTGTGCCTGTACCTGAACTAACTAACACAGGTAACATGATCAGGGACTTCTTCTATGCTTGTTGAAAACATGGGATTAATTTATGCCTGATCATCCCATCTTTCCAGTGGCAGGCAAGGGCAGCCATCTCTTTCATGGCAGGAGCCATGCTGCAGCATGGGAAGCCCTTTTGGAAGGTGGGGTTCAGCATCTGCCATGTGAGGCTGGAGGGGAAAGGTATGACCAGGCTCTCCCTCATCTTTCATGTGATGTGGTGGCAGATTCTTCAGCAAAGAAGTCTGATGCTGGTTGCATCAGTTACTATTGGCATCAGGTTTATGGACTGTTTTATTCTGTCAGATATTTCTGTGCATGACAGATGCCTGAACAATCTCTGGGCAGATGGCAGGGTTTGGTGATATTTTATATGAGCCATCTCCAAAAGTTTTGGAGATGTCTTCTCCTTAGCTCTGACTGAACTGAAGTTAGCACTTCACACAACATTCCCACAGAGTGGGTAGTGCCTGTCTTTAAACTACGGGAAGGGCAAGTCTTGGAACTGTTAAATGTCTTGTCCAAGAATCACAGGGGACCCAGAGTCCAAAAAGCAATATATACATTGAAAGACTGAAATTAAAATTCAGATTTCTTTCAAAAGTTGAAAAGCATTTAGATTAACCTTCACTGAGGAAGCGTGGAAGGGTCATAAGCACTCATGAGAAGTTCTCACTGGCTTTCCCCAAAGCCTAAAATGGGAGCTGTTGCTGATTTTTAGTCGTTTAATATGTATGAGTGCAAATGATCTGATCATTAGACAACCTACAGACACATTTCAGTGGTTGCCTGTGGCAGCTCCATAATACCCAGGATACTGGTAGGTCACAGAGCCCCAATCCTTTGCATAAGATAGCAATTTTCAGGAAGATGCAGAAAACCTGCTGAGTAAGTCAGCACCTGCATGATCCTGCATCTTTACCACAGTATCAGTGTCCTCTAATTCTGTATCATTTATCAACACCCAAGTCCTTTCTCTGGCATTTAAAGCTTCCTCAGCTAGTATGTACTTTTGCTTTGTCACATTCACTATTTGCCAGTTTAGAAAATGACAAAACTACATTCCTGGAGGTTGAAATGCTCAGTTTGACCAGAGAACCAGGGCCAAGAATACAAATTCTGTATCAACATGTGCCCCTTTAAGTTTGGGATGAAGGGCTACGATTACCAGTTACAGAATGGGTATAGCTCATAGCAAAAAGTTACAACCATCATTCTGTTTTACAGAGAATTCTGAACGGCAGGAGTGTTTATATTTGACTATTACCCACCTGGGGCTCGTGTCACTCAAACCAGAGGTTCCCCAGCACTAATCTTGCAGGCTTTCCAGAGTTACTCTCCTGTGAAGATAATAGATGGTACCTGTCAGCTGCTGACTTTGCTTCTAACTCATTGCTCCTGGAGAGCAGCACTGCCTGTTCAGGAGAACTGAACATAGAAAACAAAATCTGCTTTGGTTTGATGTTTTAAGTTACAGTGGGACAACAAAGAAGCTCTTGCTTGTACTGCTCAGCTAAGAGGCATGAACAGCCCAGAGTGCAGCAGCACAGCAGTCACTTTGCCATGGGTGGAAAAAAGACTCCTATCTTGAGATAAAAAGGAAGGGGCCACTACCAGGAGCTGTGTGTTAACCAACCTTGTGACTCAAGTCTGTATGCACTGAAATGTATTCAGATATGTTCCCTTTCAAGCAGCTCCCATTATTCACTCTCTAAATAGAAGTGTCAGTCATTAAAAAATGAAGGCCAGAGGCAAACCCCAAGCAAGGCAGCAGCATCATCCAGACAAAGCACTGCCAGGATATTTAGGAGTTGCTTCTGTTGGCCTGAAACCTAATTTTAAAACTTTGTGTAGAATTCCATATTTTTCTTGACAAAGCTCAGCAGTGTTCCAACTGCTCTGTCTTCCTGAAATAAAGAAGAAATTTCCTTCCTGAAATAAGCTAAATTTGTAATTGTGTGATGACACTAAATGCAGTCTAACCCATTGATTTATAAAGCTCTCTAGTTCAGTATCACAGCTGATGGCTAAGGACAAAGAGAAGTGTGTAATTAAAGATTCCAACAAGTTCAATGAAAGAGTTGCTTATGCCTCTAAATCCATCATTATGTTGATTTTCAAATGTACAGTACAGTTTGCTTGCTTATTGCACAGCCTTGTTTGTGGTTTAAAAAATATTTATGAGCTTTTGTGGAGTGTTTGCAGCCTAAAAGTTAATTACTGAAATTACTGTTATTTTTAATCTTGTAGAGAGTAAGGTAACAAAAATGTAAACTCTTCTGAGGAGAGCACCAAGGCTTGCCACTTCAAAGTAATTTGTTCAGAAATACACCTAACCCCCTGTATTCAATCCCCAGAATGAGCACAGTTTATTATCAGAAAGCATGATTCCATTTCCTTGAAAAGGGTCTAGAATGGTCTTTTTTTAAATATTGTCCCTTTTCTCACTCCAGAAAGAGGGTCTATTTTCCTTTTAGATATTCAAAAGCCAGAGTTTCCTAGAGCAAAATCCTCATCCAACAAGCCTTCCTCTTTCTGGCGGGGGGAAAAAGAAACACAAGCACTGAAATGAGATGAAGCAACTGCTCTTGTCCTGCCATGGAGGATGCTCCTGGGGTGCATCTGCCTGCCTGTGCACTGCGTTGGCCTCCACACATGTGGGCAGGATGGGGAGGAGACCCAGCCTCTTTGACAGACACAGACCATGTAGAAAATTTTCTTATCTTGTATCACTTTAGGAAACTGATGCCTGTTGCAGTCAAAAGGATTTGTTTGTGTTCAACAGCTTTCAATAGAACTGTGACACCTCTGCCCACTGCAGTGTGTATTTGGTCACCAAGTTTCATGTGAAGTTGATGTGAATGTAAGCATCTGGACAAATCTGTGGATCTGGCTCAGGCTTTTTTCAGAGGAACACTCCTCTGGTATTTCCTACCTTCTGATCTGAGAAAAAATGAAAAGCAGAGAAACAGCTGCTCACAGTGCTGCCCCAGACCTCCTGGGGATGCTGGTGTAGCATCCACATACCTGGGGATTAGAGTGCCTTGGATTGTGCTGGACCAGGATGATGGAAATGCTGGAAGGAGTTTTGTTGCAGAAGCAGGGGATGGTTCTGCAGCAGTTGCAGTGTTAATACACATGGTAAATTTAAACACCTTGTGTGCAGGTGAGCTGAGCACCATGAGTGCCCTGATGGATGCAGGATAAAGAATGAATTTCTAACATAAAGTGCCAACATCAGAGAATCCATTTCTGCTCTGTAGCTCAAGTGTCAAAGCCAAAGCAAGCTCTCCCCTGCATGGCAAATCACAGTAAAATGGTTCTGCCTTTGCATCATTGCTGTTCCCTTGGATTTGCATTGGCTGCATAACCTTTTCCTTTCATATGATTAGCTCTGCTTATGTCTTTTTTTCTTTTGACCTTTCTCTCTTTCATGTAGTTTCAGAATTGAAGCTAATCAAACAAAAACAAAAACAAAAAAACAAAACCAAAACCAAAACAACAACCAGACAAACACAACAAAGAAGGAAAATAAGGAAAATTCACTCTGAGGATCTGGGGATTAAATTGTCTGTCAACCTTATGAGAGGGAAAGGTCTTTTTTCTAATCATTGTTTGCAGTTTCGTAGATGAACAATTTTCGAAACTATTAAGTGGTTTTGTTATTTCAGTTTGGCAGCATTTGTTGTCCTTGTCTAAAATGAAAAATACTTTCAGCTTAAAAGTGCACAGAACTGCATAATTTTATGGTGGCTGCTTGCCTTAACAGATATGATAATGTAATTTTAGCATTACTCTGCCATATTAAAACTTGGCATAAAATTCATGCAGTTGGGTTTAACTCTAGGCTTTCTTCCTGCTCCTGCTGTCTCTGAAATGGAGGGTTCAGGTGCCTTGATGTTAAAAGGGTGTGTTTCCATGCTTTCAAACACAACAGTTCATGGTGTCAAATGACTACAAGGTGATCTCATTTTTTATTTTAAAAAATAGCCTGTTTTTTAATTTTCACCGTTTCAAGGAAATTCTTATACACAGTGCTGACCTCAGCTGCTCCCTACTCCATGTATTGCCAAGAATCTCTTTGCTTTTGGCATGCTCCAGTTTAGGAGAGACTAAAGCAGCCTCTGGGTCTGAGCATTGCTCTGCCCTTTTATTTTAATTCACATAACTGGTCCCCGGGTGGAGCTGAGAATCTGTTTCTGAATCCAGGCTCTGCAACTCAGCTATCCTCTGAAGGAGCCTGAATTTAGTGGGACTGTGTGACTATTTTTCTTGGAGAGAATAATATTTGTAAGTGTCATTAATTATTAATTAATGGTTG